ATTCACCATTTTCAGTTATTGTCAACACTGTTGCCAAGTGGACATCTCCTTAAGTCTGAGGAGGGGAGAGATGATGGCTGTATACAGAGCAGTGTGTGACTGTGTGCTTCTTGGTTCTTTCAATAGACACACTGCCCTTATCTGTCTTTGTGTAAACTGATTGTTGGACTGTTTCAGAGCATTATTTGGTCTGGTTTCAGGGAACAGGAGTCTCTCTGGTAGTGTTTTGGATGACTTCATTGTTTCCTGCATCCAAAGGGGCTTTTACAAGAATCAGAAATGTTGCAGTGGAACCTTACTGACATGTTGGCTAAATTGGATGACTCTTAGACTTTCATAACACAGGTTTTTTACTTTCTTGTTTTTATTTGTTTTAACAAATCCCATGAGTAGGGAGTTAATGTAAAAAAAAAAAATCCCCCCTTTTTTTAAAGCACTATGGTAGAAATAGCTTGTATTTCTACTATAAATCCTGGGAAACTCAGAGCAGTTTTCATATGGTATCTTTCCATAAAGACAGTAAGTTTTTTTCCTCTTTCCTGTAAGAAAGTACATAATTCATTTTCATAAAGTGATTTGCCGAGTTTGAGACAATATTTAGTTTTCCTTATCAAAGACAGTCTTTAAAGAACTGAAAGGTCTTCATCATGACAAGGTCAAGGGAAAAATTGTCCTCATTGTCTTCTTGTTTTCTCATGTTAGGCAAGAGCACGCTTCCTAAGTGGGTGATAAGAAGGTTGTCTTTCCGCTGGGAGGCTTTATGCTCCTTAAAGTTGACCTTGACTTGGTCAAAACTGTGTTCTGATACCTCAGAGAAGTACTCAGGAAAGATTTACTTTGAATTTCTTTATAAAAAAGGAGAAATACATTATTTATCTCTAGTAGTTTGTGGAAGTGCTCAGGTAACCTCAAAAGACCTAGCATAAATAGATGTTGGAGAACAGATTAGACCAATTAGTTTTCCTGCATTTAAGGAAGGAGTCAGTCATGTAGGAGAGTTAGTATCTACATATGGATGTGACAGATCTGATTCACTTGCATTTTGCCACACAATTAGGAAGACTGCTACTTAGCAATGTTTGAGAGCAATATGATTAGAGTGGGAACTCTTGAATCAGGCCTTATGAACCACGGTGTGGTCAAAGCATGGTTTCAAGAGGTCACTGAATCCCCAGAAGCTGCATGTGAAAGTTTTTAGTTCTGTGTAGTTATCCGAGAAGTTCTTTCCCTAGAGGATGACATCTGAAGACCAGAGGTGTAATTTCTAGTTCATTTGGATGGAGTTTTCTATTTCTACCATTAGAATTTTTTCTGTTCCTTAAAGGTTCCTAATCTAGGTTAATGCGCACTTTACCTGGAGTTCATGGGCCCTGAAATGGATGTATTTCTTGGACATCTGCAAAATCTTGTGTGCATATTAGGGTTTTTGTTGTTGTTATACAGGGAGGGTTCACAATTTGCATTAAGTTCTCAAATGCTCTGTGACTCTCAAAAATTAATGTAGAAGCCTGAATTAGAGGCCAGTCATTCTTCCCTCATTTAAGACAACTCCTTTATCCCCAGCTTCAGCACTTAGCTCCTAGGTTCAGCTACTTATTATTTAATGAAGTCCAGAGATTAAATGATTTACACATTTTTATGTGTAAGTTTGATTTAGGTTGAGAGTCAATTCTTTAAGCTTTTGCTTTGATTTCCAAGCTGGTAATGACTAGATACCATCTGAACCCTCTTTTTAGAGGCTTTGTCTTTGCTGCAGTCTGCCCCAACTCTGTCCTGAGGCCATCCTTATTGGCCAGCCTACCCTTGAAAAGCCTAAGCAGAATGTTCAGAACTGCCTTGAGCTTTAATTGGTTCAAAAGGGTTTTTCTTTTCTTTGTTTCTTTTTCTTCCTCCCCAGCCAGAGAGAAATTAAGCACCTTAGCCAGGAATTCTTTAGGAGCTATTCCAGGTATGTTCTTCCCACATTTCCGGGAGCATTTATACCTTCATTCTTTTGTTGGTTGTTTTGGTTGTCCACTATCTTCCCTTCAGCAAGATTTATTCAAGTGGATAGAAGAGGAAGGCTGTTGAGGGATTAGGTGAGCGAGTGCTTGGGGAACTCTCTGTTCCTGCCAAGAGATCGTTTAAAAAAATATAGTATTGAGTATTTTCCTTTTAATTTCCCAATTATAGTGTGAATTCTTCTTGGCCAAATGGCTTTTGGAGCTTTGCCTGGGCCCTGTGTGCCCGAGTCAGGGATTCATCTTGGCCAGACACTGCTGCATATCGAAGAGGGAGCCGATTCCAGGAAAGCGCAGAGAGCTACGGCTCCTAGAAATCTTTTCGTGATTGGATCGGCCAGGCCGCCACACTTTCGACCATCTGGAATATTTTGGATCCGAGCACCAATAATCTGTCTCTTACATATTTTTCTTCTCATTTCCTAAGTTTTGAAAAACAAATTCTTGTTCATTTGAGATATTTATTTAATACTATTTTATCTGTGAGCACCAAAAAGAATAATATCCCCAAGAGCTATAGGGGAGATCACTAGAAAAAGAGCTGGGTGCCCTCTGTGGACCTACACTGCTACAGTTTGCTGCCAGGTGCTCAGTAGTTTTTGAATGAGTCAGCCTGGAATCCTTCTACTGACCCATACTATTAGTGGTAAAATTTTTTAAAAAAATTTTAGGTACTTGAACAAGTGACAGTGTTATAGTTCCTTTCTTTTTTCTCCTTAAATTGCTTTCTGGGCTGTGCACATCTCTGTTTAGTTCATGCTACAGTTTGAATCTTTGCCTCTGCTGTTTCTTTAGCCTTTCTTGTTTATAGTGAAGATCAGTGTGTTTATTTCTACATGTGGACAGCCTCTCCAAAGTGCTGCGAGGCAGAGTCTGGACAACTATGGAGTGTGGTATTTTGCTGTAGCTATACATGACATCACTATTCATTAGGACACTGCTTACAGTACTATAATTATGCCAAAGATAAAAATGACCCTAGCTATGTTGCAGAAATACGTCATGATAGTGTGAGTCTTCTGTGTCTTTTACTTTTCTATAAATTAGCTGAGTCTCTTTGAACCTATTGGTGTATTCAGCCCGTTTTGCCTTTTGGGTAACATAAATTTGCTATGATAAGTTAGTCACTTAAACATTAGGTAACGCATAGTATTGAGTGTCAGATATATCTTTGTCTATTTCTCTTTTGGAAATTAAGACACATACTCATTAATTAGTGAATGAGATGGTGTTTATACTACAGTGCAAATTATTCATGGGATTAAGTACATTTGTGGCACTGAAAAATAAAGAATTAGGTATCTAGTTTGCATTTACTGAGGGCCTACCATGTGCTGAGACATGGATATTGAAAGTTTAGTGCCTTATTGTCAGTGACCTGAGCATATATTGTGATGAGTGACATTTGTATCACCATAGGCAGTCCCTACCGTAAAAGGCAGATACACTGAGCAGCCAGCCACCTCTGCCAAGATGTAAAGTAGTCCAGCTTTTAATGCCCTATCCCTCATGATTGTATAGAATCAGAACATGGATCCAGACCACTTAATCCTTTTAAGGGTTATTGCTGAGATATACTATTAGTCCCGTTGGATCTTTCCAGCTTACGTCCTGTTTTGTCTTTTCCCATTACCAATTTTTGGTGAGTTCAGCTTGTTTAAGTCTGTAATTCTTGCATGTTGCCTATCCCATCTGCACAGAAAGTCAGAGTGAGACAAGCTTATATGAAAGCATCTGTTCAGTGTTTCCTAATCTCCCCTTTTGCTTCTCTAAGTTCATGTTGACCGGCCTTGGCTCACGTGCTCCAGCAGGATGCTGTTGAGCTAACCGGTCCAGCTCTTCTCACAGGTGATTTGTGACGATGCTAATGACAATTGATCTGCTGCCAAAACTGGCCACAGTTTTCCTATCCAGGCTCATGATTTTCTTTCCTGTTTTTTTCTTTCTTTCTGGACTGGTACTAGATACAATCAGTTTTATTTCAGTGTGATCTCTGTCCTTCATTTCTTTGGAAAACCCCTTCAAGCTAATAGTTGGGTTGATGAAAGCCCTGGCAGCTCCTGTTGGCAGCTCCTTTCCCTTAGCTTTCGGCACTTTTCTTTGGCAGACACACCTAACTTTATAGAGGTTGGCGCTTACCTGGAAGAGAAGAAAGCCATTGCTCTGGTGCTCCAGAGAGATGCTCCTCCCCCCACCTTCCCAAGGGATTCTTTTACTCCAATTTTCAGCTTAGTTTTTTGGATGTGAAGGGAAGGTAACTTTTACTTTGTCTTTGCCAACTTTGGAAAAAGAATGTGTTCTGTTTGTTTGCAGCGTTTTGTTTATTTGTGCTCCAGCATTATTGGGAGCTGAATCACATTTTGGTTGAGATCAGTGTGGGTTGAACGACAAAATAAAGCCATTTTTTTAAAAAAAAAAATGTGTAATTTATTTTTATGTATTTTACATCATTTTTGCACAATGTTTGCTTTCTCCACTCAGGTGTAGTCCCCATAAATTCCACCAATTCACCTGTACACCATTACCATAGTCCCTTTCCTGTTTTGATACCTCTCTCTCCCCCTCTCCTGCAGAATGTCTCTGATTTATAGTTGCCTGTTAATTATTTTGTTATTATTTTTTCCCCTGGTCCCTATATTCCTCCTATAAGTGAAACCATCTTATATTTTTCTTACTCTTTCTGATGTATTTCACTGAGCATAATCCTTCTAGCTCCATCTGTGTTGCTGCAAATGGCGTGAGTTTCTTTTTTGATTGCTGAATAGTATTCCATTGTGTATATATACCATATCTTCTTGAGCCAGTGATCCATATAGCCATTTTTATAGTTTAAAAAGGCCAAACATTTGCATCATCATCAAGGTCAGCCTAATATATCTTCTCAATAGGATCTGAGCTAGCTTGTAGCTTGTATCTCTTAGCTGTGAACTATGAAAAAGTGTTCTGGTGATTTTAATGGAAAGCCAGTGCTAAGATTTCTGTCTCTTTGTTGCTGCCTAGGTCACTCTGCACCTGAATCCCATCTCCTCAGTCCACATTCATCATAAGCCTGTTGTGTTCCTGCTCAACTCCCCGCAGCCCCTGGTTTGGCATCTGAAGACAGAGAGGCTTGCATTTGGAGTCTCCAGGCTTTTCTTGGTGAGTGTTTGAAACCCTCCCAAACAAATTCTTTGTTTAAGAATATAATGACCCCTAAAACTTTGCAAAACTTTTTAAAAGGCCTATTTCATGGAAATAATAAAAGTACGTAGAGTGTTAAAGCTGGAGTATATTCTTAGTGATATTTGAATGGAGTAGATAAACATTCACAGAAAACAAACACCACTCACATGCCATCTTCTGTGGCTAGAGAATCAAGTCTAGTTTGCACATTAGAACAGGCCTGCAGTCATATTTTGTGTGGAGTGCTTTGGTCTCAGCTCTGAGACAGCCTTGTAGTATCAGGAGCAATGTAAATATTGTAAATAGCCACTAGGTGTGTGGTCTCTGACCACAAAATAAATAACGCACAAGCCCATTCTGTTTGTATATAGCACAGGCCTAATTCCTGATATGAGAATCTGTTTGTTGAGAAAGTGACACAGGGAGCTCCAAAATGAAAACATTTGTGTTTTATAAAAAAGCTGGAACCCAGCTCTTTGCAGAGATCCAAATATTACCTACTATTTGTAAATCATGTCCTTTTGAGTTTGCCAGAACATTCAAATTTGCTAGTTGTGGAGAAATTGATGGGTTGTTTGGATTGAATATTTGGGTTATGATATCATGTCTGATGATGAACAACACTGCACTTTGCAGTGATAACTCACATTGTCCGTTGCTGGAGCTAATGCTAATGTCCTCAACCGCAGAGTCTTAGAATTTTAAAGTTCTCTTGCCCACAAGCATCCATAATAAGAAAAGGCCTCAGTTAGTAGTTGTCCTCTTGCATAATGAATATATTTTGCCTAATTGATGACTTAATCTAGAACTATAGTTTCTTGTCACTTGTATTTGAGGATTTTTTAAAAAAAACTCAGAGGTACTTACTAAAAGAAGAAAATCCATAATCAATACAGTTTATAGATAGATAACTGATTCAAGGGAAGAAGGCAAAATTCCTCTATAGTAGAATGACAACTAGTAAAAGTAGAAGGAATGATGGATATTATAACAGAAGTTGAGTAGGCAAGAGTTATTCGTAGATGCTAATTCTAGCAGAGGTGAATAAAATCTAAGGAACAGTGTATTTATATAGTCTCAAATTACTTATTAGTGGCAAAAGAAAAAACAGTACTAGATGCAGTGGAGATCCCCAACTGTATCTTAATCAAGTGATCAAAATTGTTAGTGATCTAGTGCGGATGAGAGATGTGTGACTTTAAATAAGATAACCTGAGAAAGGACAGCATCACTTTTGTGATATTTCAGCCAAAAATATGCATTACCTAACTTAATCACAAGGAAGCATTGGGCAAAACCCAACTGAGTAAATTCTGTAAAATAAGTGGCCTATGCTTTTCAAGAATGTTAATCATGAAAGACAGAGGAAGCCTTGTTTTGGATTAAAGGAGACTCAGGAGGACACCTGTGATCCTGAACTGGGCTCTGCTATGCAGGGAATGGGGCTCTTGCTATTGGAATTGATCCTATGGATTAAGGTGTTAGGTCTGTGTTACATTTCTGAGCTTTAGTAATTGTACTGCTATATATGAGAATGGCCTTTTCAGAAAGCATAACACACTTAAGTAGTAAGGGATAAAGAAACAGTTCAGTAAAAGATATGTATAGATAAAATATAAAGCAACCAGTACAAGATGTTGAGAACTGAGGATTCAAGTTCAGTGGTGTACAAGAGCTCTCTGTACTATGTTTGCAACTTTGAATTAATTTCGTAATAAAAAAAATTTAACTCACAAGTACATTGATAAAGTGGGAGAAACTAATAACTGAAGTTGTAGTCTTTTCTGGGAATTGACACTGATTGCTTTTAAATGAAAAGTTAGAGTTAGTTGTTATTGCTACTGTGGTGGGAGAACTTGGGGAATAGGCCTGAGGGAAGAACGTAAATGATGTACAAAAAAGAAAAATGGTGTAAGAAAATCAATAAATTTAATAAAAAAAAAAATAAACCACACTTACTAGCATATTCTTTAGTTCTTATTGCAGTCCAGGTATTGCATTACCTGCTTTGATGCTTTATCTCATTAATCCTCACAATAACCCTATGGTAGTAAGGGTAATTACCATATTTTAAAGGTGTGTTTACAAAGGAGGAACTAAAACTTACAGAGGTCAAGTAGTGATCCAAATCACATGGCTAACTACTGACAGAACTGGAACTCAAACCTCTTTTTTGGTTTTTTTTTTAAATTATTATTTATTTATTATTATTTTTTTTTTTACATCATTGTTCATTTTTAAACAATATTTGCTACAACCCTCAGGTGTAGTCCCTATAGAATTTCCTTCACCAGTGCACCTGTGCACCTGTGCACCATCACCTCAGTGGGACTCAAAATCCCTTATGCTAGACTGGCTTCCTCCTTACTCACAATCACTGTTATCTTCTGAAATTAAAAGTATTTGTTATAGTAAGTCAGTAATGACCATGCTCAGAAGTCCTATGCACATTTACCTCTTATAGTACACAGCTGTAAAAATAATGTCGTAGGTGCCATTTAAATTAGCTACTCAGGCTAGTGGCTCACTCATTGGGCGGTTTATGGAGAGGTTATAAGCAAATTCTTTGCTGGTACTGGTTTGCATTCAAGCAGTAACCTGGGCCCAATTATTTAATTTCTTTAAGCCTGATTATCCCCAGCTGTAATATGGGAATAGCAGTGGATCCTACATGGGATTGTTTTCTTGAGTGAGATTCCACGCAAAACACTTAGCACAGGGTCTGGGCACTGATAGCTGCACAGACATCTGCCATTGTTATTGTGATTTACTGTTCATCATAGTGAAGGATGTTGGATTTAAACTTCTAGTTATGAAATGTCGGTCTTGATTGCTCCCATACTGAAAGGAATTCTTTTTCTCTGGGCTGTTCATCCACATGAGAGGTGTGGATAACATATATCATAATTGTGTTGGTTCCTTTCTGGATTCCTTCTTCAGCCTTTGGATTTTCAGGGAAAGTATGGATTTTCAGGGACAGTGTCTTGCTTCTAGCTATTATTTATTTGCTTTTATTTTGCTTCAGATCTCTGAGAATGGCTTCTTGCTCATTAGTTTAAGACACACTAACAATGAAAGAAAACCATTTTAGCATGTGCATCAACATCAACCTTGTTTGGAGTTAATCCTGTGTAAAGGAGATTACAGAACAAGTGATGAATCTTGATTCCAACACAGGAGAGGCAGCACCGGAAGTCAAGGATTTAATTCTGAGATTCCAGAACCCTGTTTTTTGCCCCACAGGCTTTCTTTAGGGAAAATGGTTTTCCCACTTGGACATTTCTTCATGGCCTAGAAGAAATGGTAGAACAGCCATTGCTCGTCGAGGTTCTCAGATCTCCAGATGAATGTTACATTTTCACAAGCTGGGCAGCTTTCCTCGGCACAGAGCATGTGCTGAGTTGAAGAAGGGCAGGCAGGCTCTTCTTGCTCTCTGTCTCCTGAAACGAATTTTAGGTTCTACTCAAATGCTTGATAGCTTTTGTAGCAGAAGAATCTGCTGCTGGAGAGAAAACTAGTGGTGTGCCCATTTATCCATTTATAATGGTTAAGAATTAAAGTTTGGGGATGAGATAACTAAGTTTATGTACAGTGTTTCAGCCAAACACTTCAGAAGGCCTGTGGAATCTTTGGAAATGGAGGCTTAGCCTTCTCTATCACTGTCATCTCCGAGGTTTTGTGGAGCTGGGAGATGCACAATCAAGCATCTCTTTATTCTCACATTCAGATGCTGGCATCCTTGCTGTACTGCCCCGTACCCCCAGGCTGCTGAAGAATGTGCATGACTGTCTTCAAGTGGTCTTTACTCTCTAGGTGGTTATAATACTTTAACAGTTTTTGTTTGTAGGGCAATGAGAAAAGTTCAGGTAATAGCATCTACTCATCTGTCAAGGTCACCTTTTCATTTAATTTGACCGGTCTTCATTGTTATAACTGCCTGAAATAAAACAAGAAAGCTTTCATAATAGTTGGCGGGGTCTTGTGTTACTCAAAATATCTTAGTTACCCGTGGGGATGCTAAAAAACATTATACTTTAATGCTATTTGATAGTTACCTGTCTTTTTTCTGTGAAATCATTCCATCCTTGTGATTCTACAGTGTAGACAAGAGGGAGTGTGTCAGGCAGGGATTTGTTTTCTTTGCAAGTGTGTTTCCTCAATTCCGTTGCTCTGGTTCACTAGGAAATGGGAGTGGGATGGAGAGTAACTATATCAGGCTGAATCAAGAAGTGGGTCTTTGAGTAAGACTCACATACACCCTTCTCCCTCTCCCCTGTGGTATATCAGTAGCCTCTTAATTTTGCCCAGCAATTATTAGCTAAGTTACTACCATCCCCCAGTACAGTAAGAAATAAAAATAAGCCTGCCCTCTCATCTGCCATACTTAAACTACAAGTAAAAATCTCATGAAGAACATAAAAGCTTATTTTTATTTATGCAGTTATTTCCACAGTGAAGAAAAGTGGGGTAGCTCAATACCTGAACTTTCAGCAATACTTGAACATTCAACCCGAGTTTCCCAAAAAAGATTGGGGGAGGGCCATAATACTAAATTGTTTTCAAAAAACATTTTACAATTTGAACAGAGGGCCTCCCTGGTGGTGCAGTGGTTGAGCGCTGGCCTGCATAGCTGCCCACAGCCTCTGCAGCACCTGTTTGATCCCTGGCCACGGGGCGAGGGTACCACATGGCGCACAGACCTCTCCTGCCGCCTGCTGCTCCCCTCAGCAGTGTATTTTGTCAGTCTGCCTGTTCTGCATCCCGCTCTTGCTCTGGTAAATTCTCTCACCCTCCTGCGATTCTGACTGTACCCAGTGCTTGTATGAATAAATAAATAAATCTTTAAAAAAAAAAAAAGAAAAGAAAAAGAAAATTAAAAAAACAAAACATACTTTTCCAAAGGGAAAAAAAACGTGTTTAGTAAACAAATGGAAAGATGCTTAATGTCATTAGTCATCAGGGAAATGCAAATGGAA